GCATTTTTTTTTACACACCACAACAAAAAGTTGGGTGACAACCACCCCCAGGGCTCCCCGCACCCCGCAGCCCGGGGGGGAGCTGGGGGGAGTGGAGGTCCACACATCTTAAAGTTGCTGAGGTTGAAAAACACTGGCCTAGAACAACTGTTGATGATATTTAGGACAGCAATTCACCCACTCCAGACTTTGCTGGTTCTTTCTTTGGCCTTCCTCTTTCAAAGAGTAACACCTGAGGCAAAATTATGCCCATTTTGATTCCTTGGATCCAGAGGTATCCACACGGTGTGGTAAACAAAGTCGAGATCGTAGCCATAATGGGGTGGTCAAAGCTCTGCCTGGCTTTTATGTGTGACCCAGACACCCCTGCTCAGATCTCATCAATGCCAGGGAAAACTCAGCCTGGGCCCATATTACACCCCCTTTGGACCACTTAAACCATTTCCCAGACTACAGATTTTTAAAGTGGTGGGATAGAGAGAGTGCTAAGGCATTGGTTTCCCTTCCACATCTCTGTTCCCAGCAAGCTACTCTTGAAAGTGGGTTTGCCTGTGACATGCAACTGCCTGCCTACAAAACACTTGCCTGGAAATTATTGTTTTGAATAGAACTGAAAGCAGCATGACAGGCGAGCTTACCTACCAGGGTCTCATCTGCAAATGGAAAGGAGGCCCATTTGCTTAATCCATAAATCATGGCTCTAAATCTTCAGCGCCCAGAAAGGTACACTCTGTAGAGGCTGAACAGCCTGGTGGTGGTGACTTCCCACCACAGCTTAACTAGTCTTTTTCTGAAATCAGCAATTAGGTCACTATCCCTGCTACTGAAAATTAACCTTGGGAATAAGCCAGTTCTGATAAGTTCTTAGAACTGAGTGGCCTAGATATTTGGGATGTAAATCAATCAATCAATCAATCAATCAATCAATCAATCTTTCACTGCATGCATACAAGCCAAGTTCACGTACAGCATGAAGCCCTAACAAGGATCCCTCCTTCTTCCTCCACCAAGTTGTATGAACCCAACCATTTTGGCTTCTAAGATACAGTTCGCTCTCATCAATAACCAAATAAGTGTTCAGGTTTCAGTGATGACGATGACAATGATCATCATCATCATCATCCCAGGAACAAAGTTCTGAGATATTGACAAGCCTGTGCACAGAGAGGACAATGACCTTCATACAGTTTACTTGGATTTAGAGAGATTATCCCTTTTGTATTCCTGAACACGGCAACAATCCATCTCTGATTCATTCTCCTCCACGTTGCCTTCTGCTGCATCAATTCAACTATCCCCATGGCTTTTCAGAAGTGAAATGAAAAACCCTGCATGGCACCCGAGTGGAAGGAAAACCCACTCAGAGATTCCATGCAAGTCGGATTTTCTCCCCTTGACTTGGGGATCCAACTAAGATCTTTTCCTGCCTAAAGTCAAATTATATTAGCAGTGTTTCCCCAACTGGCAGGTGCTGTCTGGATTTCAAGGCTGTCCATAGAACATGGTCAAAAAAAGTCAAGATGGTGGTCATGATGCTGCAATCACAGCTCTGCCCATTTTTCATGGCCATCACAGAGCTTTGATTGTACCATTGTGGCCACTGTCTTGACATTTTTGACCACACCTTGTGGACACCTCGGCTGGATTTGATAAGAGATCAAATTTTATTTGGAATTGCGCTTATACCTCCAGAGAAACAAATGGGGTATCCTGGACTTGTAAGGAAATCTGTTCTCCATCAATGGTGAATTTTCTGGAGTATAAGGCACCTAGGGAGAAAGAAAGAGAGAAAGAAAGAAAGGAGAGAAGATCATTAATACACTAAAGATAGCATGTATTTGTTTGTTTATTTATGCAATTTATATGGCCGCCCAACTCACTCGTGGTGATTTATTTGACTTTCCCCCAATTCTGGCCCAAACAGGAAGAGCACCCTCAATTTTCCTGCCTCTAATGCAAGAGTTGTTGGGAGTTGGGAGGCATACAAGTTGAATACATTATTAGTAGTGGTAGTAGTAGTAGTAGCGGTAAAATGCTTGTTCTCCCAGAGTCTCAGGTGCCCCTCCAGATCCTTGCTAAAACTTGCCCCTGAACTCTACTTAATATGACAAAAGAAGGACATGATTAAAACTTGGGGAGCAAACCTACAAAAGATATAAACTCCTTGGATTCAAGCTTGACCACTAATGACTTCATGACAATGTCTCTCTTGGCAACCGTATTGTAGTGGTTTGTGACTGCTATGTGATGTTTTTTTCAACTTTCCAGCTCAGCTTATAGTCCTGGGATTTTTCTGGTGGTCTCCCATCCAACAACTACAAAATTCCAGCTCTCTGCTTAACTTTCTGAGTTAAAGTTGGTTACAGCCTGCCACTTAACAGGAAATACTTTAAATGTATTTAAGTTGCTTTGTTTGTTTTGCCAGTCCAGCTTTTTAGGTGTGGCCCCAACATGACACTCATCCTCTACACATCATATGCCGAAACTTGCATTTCTGATCAATATGAACTGCTGGTTAAAATCATGTAGACGTTGGGAGCGTGTTGTTCCCAATATACAGAAGAAACATAGTTCTATTTTCCATCTTTGAATCTCAAAGAGGCTGGACATGCCCTGAATGAAGAGTTGGGTGTCATTTTGAAGGAAGGAAAAAAATCCTGAAACTTAACCCAGGTAAGACTGAGTCTTCACAGAGGGGGAAACTAGCTATGGGGGTGAGGGACAGGAAGATACATGCCCTTAGGATTCAGGTCAAAGTTTGGATGCAAAGCGGTGGGACAGGTCAGTTCACCACCGGCGTAGCAAGGAGGAAGACACATGGAGATCCACCAGAGGAGATAAAGGTTGCTCCTTGGGCATAACAATACCTTTAGTAGGCCAATGATGCAGAAGAAGAGTGGGATCTCCACCAGAGCCCTGAGCTGTAATCCTTCAACTGTGTTTAACAGGATGCAATGGCTCTGTTTTTACAACACAGTTTATCCCATCAGTTAACAACCAAGTAAAACTTGGTTATTACTCATCTGAGCTGGTTGGCTTGCTCTGACGTATAACATGTTGTGTGAACATATCAGACTGGTTTAGATGGTTTGAAAAACATAGAACTGTAAAACAATAGTTGGCTAGTTTATAGTTCATTGTCTTGTCAAAAAAAAAACTCAAGATGGAAGCTGCAACAGTGCAAGCAAAGCCCTACATTGCACATAAAACCAGGTGGAGTTTCAATCATGCTGTTGCGGCTGCCATTTTGACTTTTTTGACCCCACCCTGTGGACATCCCTGGTGCCATTTCTGAAGAGTTTCATTCTCCTGCCGAAGACTCTGGTTTTTCTGTTGTATGTTCAGGGTGCTTGAAGATTTCTCCAAATTCTCTTGGTCCTTTAGGGCTCACTTTACTCACTATTTATTGGAAGTAGTGGAGGATTCAATGGCTGGTATTTTTCGCCATGCTTCCCTGGTCCCTCCCTCACCTCCCCATCTGAAAAAGCCTCCCTTGAAAGAGCTCCCTCTCAAGGTCTTCCCTTGGGATTGAACGGAAGTAGAGAACACAGAGAGGCTGCAGGCCGCTGGAGACAGGACTGGACAGTAAATGTCCAGACATTCACACCCACACAAACACACCCGTGGCCATCTCACAACCATAAATGTCAAAACACCCTGCCAGGAATTTCACTGAAATCCTTTTCTTTGCGATTTCAAAAGCAAATTCTCTGTCCCCAAATTGAATGAGAATGATAGGGGGGAAATGCAGGAGAATTTTTCTGCCCCTCCCTGGCTAGCTCTCATTTCAGAAACAGAGTCTGAAGCAAGGGATGGTCGTACGATACAGCCGGGACCCGCTGGGGCCTTCCATGCCCTGCGAGTCAGCAAAGCATGTGGTCCACGTGAGGCCTCTGCCAGCTGCATTTCTGACCCAAGATACTCACCTTTGACTCCCTGTCCCAAGCAGGAGACAATTCAGTCTCTTGGCTCCCTGCTTGGGGTCTTGCAAATCCACACCCCTCTGTCACTGTTCCAAGAGATTTGAAGGCACTTGCTGAGTCTCCAGACTGCACAGTCTTGCACATACAGAAGTCAACTTCTGGCATCTTGGGAAGTATGCTGGAGAACGTCATTCATTGTGTCAAGTTGACATTCTCCTTCTTCCCAGATCTCAGGGCAGGGAGGTGGGATAGAATGCCCTGCTCCATTGGCACAACAAGTGTACTCATGGTTAACTCCCTTAACCCCATGTTCTGCATTCCCACAAAATTCTGAATGTTAACTAGCTACAAGAGTTGGGTTCACACAGATTGTTAAACTTAAATGGTGTTGGCTAACTTGTGGTTCAGTGTGTTGTGTGAATAAGGCCACTGATGTACTACAGACTGAGAGCCAACAACACAAGTCTTCCTAATTGCTGCAAGTTGAACCATTAAGATTGCTAGGTTCCTTTCCTTTCCTTTCCTTTCCTTTCCTTTCCTTTCCTTTCCTTTCCTTTCCTTTCCTTTCCTTTCCTTTCCTTTCCTTTCCTTTCCTTTCCTTTC